TTTACTGTTTCTGCATGTTTCTGCTACTGTTTCATGTTTGAAGCATGTTTTCACTTGATGGTGTTTGGCAGATTCTGCTGGTTGACCACCTGTCATGATGAACAACGATACCACCGAGTAACTAACTCTACCGGAATGTCAAGGCCTACCGGTAGTGGCTACCCATAGCAGCCTACGCTGTATGACCTGTGATGAGGTATACCTGGAGTCGCATGTGGGATCACATCTGGACGCTTGGAGTTGCATACCACTCACAGACTTGTCAGATCACAAACATTTGTGGTCGGCACGGTATGCTTGGCATTTATCCAGAGTTCTTTCTCAGAACTCTGGTATCATCTGAGGGACTACGTCAATCAGGGCAAGCTGTACCGCCACAACCCTTACGTCTCTTTGACTCAAAGCCCGCATCTACATTTGCATTCCCCCGATGGTAATGGTCTTCTGCGCCAGTTGATTTGAAGAATCCAAGGTATATCCAATTCCTGATGATGATGAGTGAGCAAGCACACGACATCGAGAGCAGTGGCAGATCTTGAACACCTGCGATGAAGTTTCACATGTTGGCAGTGTGTCAGTTGGCGGCATCCTTTTTTGTAGAGTTGGTCCTGTGTGTAGCTTGCACCAGAACTAGATTCAATGATGACGGTATCAGCTTGGAAAAAAGGAATTTCTAGCAGGGGCAGGGTGCAGCAGGCAATTCTCTTTTAGCACTCACAAGGCAGTGGAGCTTTTCGTGTCAAGCAAGTCACACGTATTGATTGTGTCGTCGGAGGCTTCGTCTACAAGGACTTCAACAGTAGGAGGCTCAATTCATGAAGGTGTCTCATGATAACATTAAAAAACGGTATTATAAAATATAATCACGTATTCACTATGTACATATATATATATTATATATATATATATTTGTTATTTTTGCATATTATACTATATACATACACAGACTATCTATAAATTGTACACATGATATCTGCTAGCATCTCAATGATCAGTCTGCCAAGGATGGGAAGATGCGCTGGCAGCGGTCGAAGCTGCTATGCTGGTGGCCCTAGATCGGACCATTGACCTGAGATCCGTCATTCAGTTCGCAGTGCTTAAATATTTTTTTTTTCAGAAGTTTTATGATGGACGGTTGCAATCATCCACTACTAGTTGCGAAGCAAGGGGGCTCCTAGCCAACCTTATTGCCTTATTGGACCACTTCGGTTGGTATCCCATCCAGCTCTTGTGCAGTATGCTGGCAACCAGTAACTCCCAAGGCCTCCAAAGAGTCGACGTGTTCGAAGGTATCGCTTAATATTCTCCACCGAGTTGGTGAAGTTTGGTCATGACATCGCATCTGAGTTTTTTGCGGTCGTTGGAGAGTCCTCCCAATCCAACCAGCCTATCCGTTTGATGGTCTACGATGGTCTCAAGACTCCGCTAGCATCAGCTAGCTGGAGTTGGCTTTGCTTTAGCAAATTGATTGCCTACCATGTGAGCTATCAGGGGGGCCCGCCCACCCCTTCGATTGCCCCCTGGTCCCTAATGGGTGAGTGTTCAAGTAGCTGCCATCGTTGCTGCTGGACGCCTGGCGTTTTTGTTGGTTTTGAGGGTGTGAAGTGCAGCCCTACCATCGAATGCGTTGCGGATAATACGGTAGCACACCTGTTGCGTAGCGTTCTTCGTACGTTTTTTCCCGCGAGGGTCACGCAGACGTTTGTGGTGCATGCATCTACGTTTGCATTCCACGTGCACAGACACACGCGCAGTTCATGCTGATGCACCATGCGTGCTGTATTTGGCTCCGGAAAGACATGCCGCGACCGTTGTTTCATTTTTTTGGTGCGCTGCCTTGGTTCTTTTGTTGCAGTTGGGGGTTTTGTGGACATAGACGAGTTACGACCGGTTCTTCGACCGTTTTGTTTCGTGTTCACCCAGGAGTTGTGTTTTTTTGGACATGTGGAATGATTTACACCATGTCATTTTTCCAGCTCACGAATTTTGTATCGTGCCTGTGCTGCAAGACCAGCCGCGTTGTGCGCAAACGGCGCCAGAGCATGGGACAAGGCCGCTGCAATGTTCGCATCATAGACCAAAACGTTCCACGTGGGTTGTCACGCGAAGCGGCACTCAACCGCTGGATGCAGATTGGAAGAGCTTGAACCCCACAAGCAGCCAACAACAAAAAGGAAAGGTGTAAAGGCCACGGCGCAGCAAAGCTGGGGACGCGTGTGTGGCAATGGGTGTGTCGATGTGAGAAGTTGCGTGGAACACCGGCGGAGAACGTGAAAGTGTCCTCCAAAGTGTGGAATGCAAAGTAGTTTTCGAAAGTTGCAAAAGCAGGGTGCGCATGTGAACACCGCAGTCTGACTGGGGGCGTGACAACTCCGACGCCGAAACGACCAGGCGCCTGGTGGCGGCGTTCCCAAGTAGTTACATTGACATATGAATTGTTTGAATCCTCCCTGCCCTGTTTGCCCTGCCTTCCTCACCTGGTCCTGCTAGCTTTGGTCACCAACCCGCCTCAAGCAAACCGTAGCAGCACCGTGCATTCGACGGCGCTCGGACCTCGTTTTCGGCACCAAGCATGCACAACAGGCTGGACATCGAACCAAAGCAGTGAAACATCCCACCACAGGAGCCACACCGGAGCCTCCCATGTCGCCGCGTGCATGCAGCCGCCGGCCCGGCGACCGGAGGCCCCACTTGTCGGCCTTTGCGGGGCCGACGCACTGGGCACGGCATCATGCTCGAGGCCTTCAAACTCTGGCGCTGGAGGAGCGGGCGGGCGGGTTTTGGCAAAACGGACACGTGGGGGGCGGTGGGGGGAAGGCCATTTTGGATTCGTTGGAAAAGGATCAGCTAAAGGAAGGGAGGAACATGCAGGAGAGGAAATGGTACACTTTGGAGATGAACACTCCTCTGAAATGCAGGTGGTGTGGGATGAAATGCCTTGAGAAGGCTTTGACAATCAAGTACCAAGGGCTGCATGAGGTAAGTCGAATAGCTTGGGCGTTTCTGGCAAGCAAGTTTCGGTTCTTTTTCCTTGACTCCTTTAATGAAACCTGAAGGCTCAGCAGAAAACAGGTTGAAATGGCACCCTTTTGCAAAATCGATTCCACGGTGAACATTCAGATAAAACCATACTGGGCGATGGATTGTAGGGAAGTGGTACCGCCCACACTCCAAAAGTTCTGGGCTATAAAACCTCTGTGTGTGAATCACATCCAGATAGGAGGAGAGAATCTCTTCAAGTTCTAGAATCTAGTTCCACTCTATCACACGCCAGCGGTGGCTGGATCCTGATCATCAAAGATGAGAAATTTCTGAGTTACATCAGGTTGCATGTGGGGGTTGTGCAAGCTCCACAGGTGAATGAGTGCACATGAGTGCGAAGGAAGGATCACTCAGGGGGGTGAAAGGGTACCTGGTTCGAGCTGCTGGTTTGGACGGGCTCGGGACGGGTGCCAAGTTGTGCAGTGTGACGAGCTGGTCACAGTTGGGCCGAAGCTGAGGATGCCAAGTTGGAATGACTGGCCAAGCTGAGTATGGCAACCTAGTCCCTACCCTACTTCATCGCAACACGAGATACATTAAACCGACCACCGTCCTCCAGGACATGGGTTCCTTGTCCCTCCCAACGTGAACGGCCATTGATGGAACGGTTTGCAGGGGCACCTCCCCACACGCTCTCCCGCTATCTACCTGTGGGCCTCTACACCTTGCCACTACACTCCACTGCCGAGGAGCTGCAAAAGGACTCCAGGGCATACTTTGTGCTGGCAGAGCACGCGGCTGCCCTTCGCCCAGAAACAGAGACCAAGAGAAAGACATCTATATGTACAATATTTTGCAGTAATTAGTATATAATTAATCTATTTATCTATTATATAACTGATACGTGTTGGAACTCAAGAACTGAGCGGAAATGCTGAAGGCTGCTTGGAAGATCATGCCCCGCTATTGCGATGCTTTGCGCCTACTCCAACAACGCTTGCAGAAGGCGGCTGTCCTTTCAGCGGTTCTGCTAAGTCTACGGTTTCTCAGCTTCCTTGCGCTTGCCGTCTCAAATTCTCATGGGTACAGGGCGAATCAGTATGTCTCAAAACAGGCCGCCATCCCAACGTTGGATGGCCAGTTCGTCGATGTTCTCCACACGTTCTAACAAACGTCTTGCAGGTCAGAGATCGGCTGCCTGATGGTCTCAAAGATCGCCGGGAAGCCCGCGAAGAGATTTCGTTTGGTGGTGAGATCGGTAGAGGTGAAGGAACGCGAAAGCAGTGGACAGTGGTAAGCAGTGTCACCTTCACACAGAAGTTCTTGGGATTGGTCTTATCATTACTGTGCAATGGTTTTTCATGTCATCCGCTTATGGGGATGTTCAGGAATCCAGCGAACAACGTGAAAACGCGAATATAAAGTGTATTCAAGCCAACATTATCAGTTGTTTCCATTTTCTGGTTCGGTTGTCTTGTTTTCTCCGCGAATCTTGGTACAGTAACTCACTGGCAGAGAGAGGTATGATTTAAACACTTTTGGCTACTTAACTTCAGGTTCCCAAGTTTGGGATGTAAGCTTGCCGGTAGACAGACTTCCACTTAGAATATGCATATTCTGTTCTGTGCACAATTGTGCACAGTATGCAGGCTTTTGAAAGCTTTCCATGATAGTCCTGTACGTTGCACATTCCCTACATGCTTCTGGGAAGTGGTGAGCTCGTCACGAGGTGGTATGTTCTTGCCAACCATGGAGAGATATAGACGTCGTGTACACTGCAGTGCAAGACTGTTTTATCGCCATCATCGCTATGCAAGACAGTCCAAGGGTAGGGCTCGGCAGGGCTCACTTCTTCAGGCCTTCAAGAAAAAGTGGCTGAACTCCATGGTGACAGTTGGTGCCTCATTATGCTGCGCCAGTTTTGGAGGTTTCACATGCTTGACAAGTCGCATGAGAGTTGAAGGTCATGTTGGGAGCTCTCCTGTAGCATGTGAGTTGGCTGAAAAGATTTTGCACCACCTAGACTCTGGACTAGAGCCCTCAAGTCAGCTTTAGTCGGGTATTCATGGTCTCCATTTCTCATGGATTCCTCCATTTTGGGTGCAGGAATTGCTTCCTTCAATGTCCATTGTTGGGCATAACGACTCCTTTTTCCGAGACGTCGCGGGACACACACGTCGCGAGGCCTGCAAGGTTTGGACCGCGATGTGGCGACTCTGACAGCGGGGCTTCTGAGATGCGCTGGTCGAACGCGTGTTGGGTGAAACAAAAGAACGCAGAGCGGTGTAGGGGAACAACAAGTCCAGAAGGACACAGAAGGACAAGTAGAAGATTACAAAGACAAGGAGGGCAACATGAGAAGCGGGGAATGAACCAAGACGAAGGCATCAGACGGAGAAGGCAAGGGATCGGAAGGAGAAGAAGTGGAAGAACCACAAGAAGCACGAGGGAAAGGTGACAAATGGGACATACCACGTGATCTGCCTTAGATCCTTCTATGGGCGATGATGGAAAAGACAGAGCGAAGCTTGTGAACACTTGTTGTGCTTGTAAAGAGGAGAAAGCCTGTTGGCAGCTAGGCTGATTACATTCTTGATGTTCGAGCAAGCTTGGCTGCCAGAACTGTATACTATATATATATATATATTTAAGGGCTTACGCCCGACGGCCGGCCAGGGGCGTCAAGTCAGGGGGCCGGGTGGGGGCGAAAGCCGCGGTCGTGGTTGTGGCTGTTGTTGTGGTTGTTGGTGATGGTGTTGTTGGCGGTGTGGCTGTGATTGTTGCTGTTGTCGTGTGCGTCAACATACATGACAAGCTGGGCCAACATAGCCCAAGATAGCGCCAAGATGGGCCAACATAGGCTCGGGCCAACATAGGCTCAACATGGGGCCCAACATAGCCCCAAGATGGGCCAAGATAACGCCAAGATGGGGCAATGCAGTGCCAGCGTCGGCCAAGCATCCGGCCACAATGCAGATGAAGCACCCCGGTGCGGCGCGCATTTCCAGCATCAGTTGGGCCTATGTTGGGCTATGTTGACCCATCGTGAGCAACAAGAGCGGAAAAAAAACGTCAAAAACACTGGGTTTTCTGGTTCCTGCACCTGGGGTCGGCTACGCTTTCTGCTTCACAGAAGGAGAAGTGCCTTACCGGCAGGACACGGCCAACGGCTCTCCCTCTCTCTCTCTCTCTGTCTCCGGTCTCTGTCTCTGTCTCTGTCTCCGGTCTCTGTCTCTGTCTTCTCTGTCTCTGTCTTCTCTGTCTCTCTCTCTCTCTCTCTCTCTCTCTCTTTCTTTTTGAGACTGTGTGGGGCCTATGTTGCCACATCTTGAGGCAATCTTGGCCCATCTTGGGGCTATGTTTCCCATATCTAGGTAGGGTCATCTTGCGGCTATGTGTGCCATATCTGGGACCTATGCTGGGTCCTCTTGAGGCCTCTGTCAGATCACCGCCTTTGCTGTTGGCGCGTGCCCAACACCCACGAAATGTCGATTAAGCCTGTCCGCGCGGCGCGCATAACCAACACCAACCTTGAAAAACACAGCATTTTTGCATTTCTCCCTCTACGCCGCGTCGCGCTTCGATATGCGCAATAAACCATGTAAAACACAGTGTTTTGTGTACCTCACACACACACACGAAACACCGTAAATTACAGCGACTTCAGTGACCCGGAAGTGATAAGGGGCTCCCCCCGTTTTGGGCCCGAGGATCGGCGGGAGGGGGGCGAGCGTATATCCGGCCAGGGGCGACGAGCCCCGTTGGCTGTGCCCTGCCGGTAAGGCACTTCTCCTGCGAAGCAGAAAGCGTAGCCGACCCCGGCCTGCGGACAAAAAACTCAGGGTTTTTGATGGTTTTTTCCCGCTCTTGTTGCTCACGATGGGTCAACATAGCCCAACATAGGCCCAAATAATGCTGGAAATGCCTGCCGCACTGGGGTGCTTCATCTGCATCGTGGGCGGATGTTTGGCCGACGCTGGCAGTGCATTGCCCCATCTTGGCGTTATCTTGGCCCATCTTGGGGCTATGTTGGGCCCATGTTGAGCCTATGTTGGCCCGAGCCTATGTTGGCCCATCTTGGCGCTATCTTGGGGCCATGTCGGCCTATTCTTGGCTCATCTTGGGGCTAACCTTCGCCCTCTGTTGGCCCATCTTAGCCCTACGTTGCCCCATCTTGGCGTTATCTTGGCCCATCTTGGGGCTATGTTGGGCCCGTGTTGACCCTATGTTGGCCCATCTTGGCGCTACCTTGACTCATCTTGGGGATCTGTTGGCCCAGCTTGTCCCTATGTTGACGCCAACATAGGCTCGGGCCAACATAGGCTCGACATGGGGCCCAACATAGCCCCAAGATGGGCCAAGATAACGCCAAGATGGGCAACGCAGTGCCAGCGTCGGCCAAACATCCGCCCACGATGCAGATGAAGCACCCCGGCGCGGCGCGCATTTCCAGCATTATTTGGGCCTATGTTGGGCTATGTTGACCCATCGTGAGCAACAAGAGCAGAAAAAAAACGTCAAAAACACTGGGTTTTCTGGGTCCTGCACCTGGGGTCGGCTACGCTTTCTGCTTCGCAGAAGCAGGCTGCTTTTTTTTTGGAGGGACACGGCCCTGACGGGGCGCCCTTGCTGTCTGGGGCGTCGCACTGGCTGCCGGAGTACTTCATCGTGCTTCATCCCGCTGTCGGAACCCTGGAACGGCGTCAGCTGCCCGATCCACCCTCGCAAGCCGTCGAAAACTCCCAGACAAGCTCTCCCACACAAGCGCGTACCCTCAACATCATGCTCGTACCCTCCCTCCAAGGCTCCCGCCAATCTGCTTCTATTTCGAGGCCAAATGAGCGCAAGCCGCTTTAGTATCTTCTGGGAGGGTAGACATTGCCAAGGCAAGGTGAAAGTGATCAAAATCATCATTGGGCAAACGAGATGCGCATGTCCAACCTTTGGCCACGGCAACCATAGCTTGATGACCAATGTGGTTTTCGAAGCTTACCTGCTTATTCCAGTTAGCCTTGGAGATAATCCTCAGGGCCGCACTGTAAAAGCAAGCTGTGGCCTTAAGGGAGGGAGGGGGCGAGCATGGTGTTGAGGGTACGCGCTTGCGGCTTGCGCTCACGGATGGATGGTGGAGGGTTTGAACATGGTCTTGCTGTTTGGGGGCACACTCACATGGACCTGCTACGCACGTATGAAGCTATTGTAGCCATCATTCCTCCTCCGTTTCATGATTTGCTTGGCTCCAAAGTTCTCTTTACCTGTCGAAGCTGTTGCAAATCTAGAGAGCAAGATGTTGCCACTTTCATTGTTACACGTCCTCCCACAGGAATGCTCTTGCATGTTGCCTATTTTGAAGCTGCCTTTCCGTGGTCCGAACACCGGCTCCCGGCAATCTCCTTCGCCACGCCTTTCCACCATCTAATTCAATTCGAGACCAAAAATCATCCAAAAATTGTCCTCCCAGTGCGGCCCCAGAGTCTCTAACGTTGCTTTCGGAGCCCACGAACAAAGTTTGTGAACAGCATCCAGCAAGCCCTTCTTCCGCTTTCGGAACCTGTAGCAACGCTTCAATCCCGCTGTCTGGGGCGTCTCACTAGCTGGCTGAGTACCTCATCGCTCTTCATCCCGCAGTCGGAACCCTTGCTGTCTGGGGCGTCGCACTAGCTGCCGGAGTACCTCATCGTGCTTCATCCCCTTGTCGGAACCCTGGAACAGCGTCAGCTGCCCGACGCAGCCCTCGCAAGCCAACGAAGACTCCCACACAAGCTCTCCCACACAGGCGCATACCCTCAACACCATGCATGCTCGTACCCTCCCTCCGCTCCCGGCAATCTGCTTCGCCACGCCTTTCCACCATCTAATTCGAGACCAAAAATCAGCAAAAAATTGTCCTCCCAGTGCGGCCCAGAGTCTCTAACGTCGTTGCTTTCGGAGCCAATAAACAAAGTTTGTGAAACGGCATCCAGCAAGCCCTTTCTTCCGCTTTCGGAAACTGTCGCAGCAACGCTTCAATCCCGCTGTCTGGGGCGTCTCACTAGCTTTCTCCTTCGCAAGATAACACCATCCGTGAGCGCAAGCCGCTCCGTGAGCCCTCGCAAGCCGTCGAAAACTCGTACCCTCAACGCCATGCTCGTACCCTCCCTCCAAGGCTCCCGGCAATCTGCTTCGCCACGTCCTCCCAGTGCGGCCCCAGAGTCTCTAACGTTGCTTTCGGAGCCCATAACAAAGTTTGTGAAACAGCATCCAGCAAGCTCTTTCTTCCGCTTTCGGAAACTGTCGCAACGCTTCAATCCCGCTGTC